TCATAGTAAGGGGTCACTACCTTCTTAGGGGAGGCTGACAAATGTATCCAATAAATAGGACCAGTCTGCCAAAACACGGCAGTGGGCGAAAAGCTAGATGAAAGTACAACCAGAACAAGGGGCTGCCCATAATCTATACGCCGAAGGTGGGCTTGCTCTATACTTCTTAACAACAATTGTAGGGCTTCCCTGGCCTCTGGGGTAATCTGTCTAGGGGAAGTTGGAGCAGGATCCCCAGGAAGAATATCATAAAGGGCTTTAAGAGCCCCTGTTTTAATAGAAAGAGAAGGGCGAAACCACTGCACTTCTCCCAAAAATCTCTGCCAATCATGAGGTGTTTTTAAATTTGAACAATCGATCTGGAGTCTTTGTGGCCGGAGGCCAGTTTGTTGAATTTGATGATCCAAATAAGTATAAGGGGGTCTCTTTTGGATCTTTTCAGGAGCCAAAACAAATCCTCGGGCCTCCAGAAGCTCCTGTAGCTCTGCAAAGGCTATGTAACATTGCCTTTCTTCGGCTGCGGCCAAAAGAATATCATCCATGTAGTGGATAATGTGAAGATCAGGGAACTTACGTCTGAGGGTTTCTAAACAGGCAGCTACATAAATCTGGCATATAGTTGGACTATTAGCCATCCCTTGGGGGAGCACCACCCATTGGAAGCAAAGGGCAGGCTCCCTAAAGTTAATCGCAGGAAGGCTAAACATAAACCGAGGACTATCTTGAGAATGCAAGGGAATAGAAAAAAAGCAATCCTTCAAATCAATGACGATCAAATGCCAGTCTCTAGGAATGGCCACAGGCACGGGCAAGCCAGGCTGGAGAGCCCTCATAGGCTGTATGGTCGCATTCACGGCCCTCAAGTCTTGTAGTAACCTCCATTTCCCTGAAGATTTTTTTTAATTACAAATATAGGGGTATTCCAAGGGGACGTGGAAGGAACCAAATGACCTGCCTTCAATTGTTCTTGAACTAGCTGGTGAGCCGCCCTTAGTTTCTCTGCTGGTAAGGGCCACTGTTCCACCCATACTGGATCATCTGATAGCCATGTGATGGGTATGGGGGCTGGCAGCGCAACAGTGACCCTCATCAAAAATGACCAAAACCCTTCCTATTCCCTGGGGCCCTGGTCTCCAAAGGGAGGGATGCCACAGGACAAACCTCTCCCTGTTCTAGTTTACCTAGTTCCCTCCCCGGGCTCCAGCCCCTCCCTTGTACAAACACCATCTGTTTCCTAGCTGTGCCAAAATCCAGTTTCCAGTCAGTTTGAACACGCCCATCTCATGAAAAGTCAGAGAGACAGAAGGAGACAATGCTCACCTCCAGGAGGCACGACGGTGTCCTAACTGCCCAAGGACAACAGGGAACTGGGGGAAAGAAGGGAAAGGAAGTCATTTGCCTTATGTGTTGAAGTCATGGAGGAAACTCACTTAAGATTTTGTGCCAGACTCTATGCTTAAAATCGTATGATCTGCGTAGGACGAAATTGAAACTGTGCAGAAACGTAAGCACATGTGCACTGGACTGTGTCTATGCCACTCTCAGCAGTGCCGTCCAGTTACTGCTGTTGACTCTCTAGTCTTTCCTCCCTCTTCTTCCCTTTCCCCTGTCTTATGTGTAAAAAGTCAGGCTTTGGAGTTCTATAGTGACACACACATATTAATACTTTCGTGTTCAAGTCAGTGCATTATATGAGGGACACCAGGATGTCACTGAGTTTTAAGATTATATGTAGCTTGTACTTTTAAACATACAAGGAGCATATTAGAAAATAAAGGATTAAACTGTAGTTTAAAAACAAAAGGTAGCAGAAGCTCTTTTCCATTATCATAGAAGCAGGAAGGTGTTTGCTTTATATTAAAATTATGAAATTAAAACTAGAGGTATAGCTGACCTGTGGTGGTGCACACCTTTAATCCCAGCACTTGGGAGGCAGAGGCAGGTGGATCTCTGTGATTTTGAGGCCAGCCTGGTCTACAAAGTGAGTTCCAAGACAGCCAGGGCTGTTACACAGAGAAACCCTGTCTCAAAAAAGCAAAAAACAAACAAAACAAACAAACAAACAAACAAAAACACAAAAACCACCCAAAACCAGAGGTATATTGAAAAATTTTAAAGTTTATGTTGTTGACTGAAGTACGGCAGCCTTTACAGATATGTATTTTTTTAATAGATGGTTATTTTTCTGAGATGACTTGTTTGAAAGTCTGCTGTGACTTTCAGGTATTTATGGATATAACAAATAGCTGGAGAAGGAAAATTGTTCCTTAAAGCATAGCTGATAAAGGTCTTCCATGGGAACAAGTCAACTGAACTATGAAGTACATACTTAGAAAGAGCTGTGCTGTACATAAATGTGGTCAGTGAGAAAAAGCAAATTGGCTTCTCTCCGCATCCTTCCTCTTCTGGTTTTTCTTTGTTCTTAATACTTGTGCAGCTCCTCAGTTGCTGAACTGTTGTCTTAGAATCCCTCTAGGGATGTGGGGCCCTGTTGTGGGACCAGTTGCCTCTTTTTAGAACCTACTGGTTGCTTTCTGAAGGTCTTCGTGGTGCACTGGCTTCTAGGAAATGCAGAGAGGTAGGAGTGGTGTCTGCCCTCCCTTCAGGTGGGCATCTTTCTTGTGAGCTTCTGGTCCCCTGGTGATTGATCCAAAGCCAGAGAAGAGGACCTGTAATGATTAGCTGTTCCAAAGGAGCTCCCTTCTCAAACATCTATCAGCTTCTAGGAAAGGAGAAATGAAGGCAGAAATCAAGTTGATTTTTGTTTTTGGAACCATGTACAGCACACACTAGTTCATATTTTTACTTTTTTTTAGCTTTAGCGTTTTCCCCTGCGGCTCTACTGAATAGCCATCATGGCAACTCCTCCCTGGAATCATTTCCTGTTCTGACATTTTTAGAAACCAAAATAACAGCATTTACAATGTAACAGCTAAATATTCCCATGGAGTATCCTGGTAAAACATGAGTCTTTGAGGGTAACTTTTGACACTGTGTATTCAGACAGTGTGTTCAGAACTGCTCTTAGCAGCTCCTGGCTAACCAATAGAGAGAAGCACTGTTAGTGGTCACTCTACAATGACATCTGGCATACGATGCTGGCGACATTCTGGCTTCCAAGCTGCTCTCATGTAGTGTTTTGTTTTAATTTCAAAACACACATTTATTCAGTAAGTGCTTTTAGTAATAAAGTGCAGCTGTGCAGTTTTATGTAAAAAAAGAAGCTGAGGTACATTGTAATATCACAAGGGATTATGAGATTTCACAAATGAAGTGCAAGTTGGACAAATTCAATGCATTTTTGAACTCTTAGGAATTTTTAAAGAAGATAATTTTAATAGAATTGTTTGCTTAGCCATTTATGTCTTATTTTCCTGTTTTAAATTTAGTGCAGCATAAACTCCAAGAGGTGCTAGAAAAGTGTTCAAAGTCTCTACAGACAGTCAATGTCCTTAAGCTACCATGGCTAAACCTCAAAAATAGATACAGCCCCATCAAAGTAAAACAGGATGACTCAGTGTCTGGACAACAAACTGGTCAATTTAGACATTAAAAATATGGATGGAGGAGCCTTGTTTTGTTTTTAGAGGGTACATGTGCATCACAGGAATTTTGGCTCAAAAACACAAACTTCTCTAAAAAGTGTCAAAGTTAGTTTATCATGTTTTCATTACTTTTTCTTTTCAAACATTACCCGCAGGCGTATCTGAAAGATCAATTGGCCCATCTCTCACAGTCGAGAGACTAACACTGAAAGCTTGCCCTCCCCCCTTTGTATCTCCCTTTACAGATACTGGGTAAGCCAGAGGTTCCCTTTCAAGTATCTGTGCAACCAGGTTTTGATGAAAACATATAGAGAGGTCTCCTACATCTCCTCACTGTTATAAAAGGAAAGTTAAGCTTAATAGAATCATTTATTTATTTATTTATTTAGCTTCTCTGATTTTATATTTTTGAATGAAAATGTGAATCCTGGTACTTGCTGTCATCTTGGAACAACAAGGCAGCAAGACCAAGGGCTGAGAAAAACAAAACACACCACCAACAAATAGAGTAGGAAGGCAGAAAGAGCTTGCAGTATTCATAACTAGAGCCATCCATATATCAAATCTACAGCATTACGCCTCTGGAGTTCTTCCTATGTGGGACAATTAATGGTCTTTACTAATTAAGTCACTAGCTTTCTGTCATATTTCTGTAAATTCCTAAGAATGCACTCAAAGAAATGGATATGATTAGGATTATAGTGGACACACAAGGATAATATCAAGTTTTCTAACATTTTGTTCCATTCCCTTTCTGTACTCAGCAGGCCCGATTCTAGCACTGGGTTATTACAGATGAATAAATAACATATTGTCCTGATTGAATCTGTTTTAAAATGTAACATTGTATTTGTCTTCTTGAATGGTGTCTATATTTTCTTTTTGTTAAAGGAACTTAGATAAATTTGTATTCTATTTTTGAATAGAAAAACTTGACAAAGAAATTCATTATAGAATGATGTGTTTCCATATGAAAATCCTTGATAAAGGAAGAAATGACTATTTTAAGTGATATAATGTTCAGTAAATTTAATGTGTCATGTTTACAAAGTTGATAATAGCTCATGACTTCAAATCTATCTGGTATATTAGCTTAAGAACAAGTTGATAAAATTATATCAAAATAAAAAAGGTTTGAAACTAGAGGTATGGCTTAATAGTTAACATACTTCATGCTCTTCTAGTGGACCTGTACTCAGTTCCCAGCACCCGTGGCAGACAGCTCACAGTCACCCACAACTCTACAAAATCCACTGCTCTCATCTGTTCTTTGTATGCATCTGCACACATGAGCATATATTTATACACACATGCACATGTATACACATACATTCACACATAAATAAAAATAAACCAAATCTTATATTTAGAAAATTTCAAAATTAAGAATCAAATAATAATACCTCAAAATATATGAAGTAATTGACAAAAGCCATTTGGAAATTCAAGCTCTATTCTCGATTTACCAATTTCTTTTGTGTAATGAAAGTTTTTGTCTGATTTGTTGTCTATGCTTTGAAACAATTATTTTGTACCACCATATAATTTAGGGTTGAAAAGATGTAAATTTAGGTTTAAAAAATCTATCAAATCAATCATTTGAGAGTGAATGACATTGCAAAAAATTCTACGGAGAATATAGTTGATGATTTCTGTAGACCATAGAGACAAACAGGTGTATGGGCAGAAGTCAAATAACATTTTAGGATTACTTCTATGTTGTTATATAAGGGACGCTGTATAAAAGGATACTTTTTTCATTATCCTTCAAGGCCTTACAGACATCTGTTTTACACCAGATCATCACATTCTTCATTCTGTTTTCCGATTGCAGATGCAATATTATCGCTATCACTTCTCTCTCATCACGGATTGAACAATGGAACTGTGACCCAAATCAGACCCTTTTCCAACTTGTTTTGTCAAGGTGTTTTATCACAGCACTGAGACAAGTAACTGATACAAATAACTTAGTTTGATTAGTGTTCATTGGGAAGGAGATTTGATTTTCATAACAATGGCAGCAGCAAAAAGATGCTGAAGCTTGAGGGAATGTAGAGATGCAGATGCAAGCAGTGGTCCTGTCCTGCATTGTAACCACGGCAGTACTGGGATGTGGGCGTGTTGCCTTGTAGAATTAGTTGTTTTCTTTTTAAAGTTGCACAGGGTCTGAAATTTATTGAATGAATAGTTCACTGCATCAAATTGTTCATAGTAAGCATTTTATATGGCTGCTCTGTATTGTGTTTTGAAAGAAGGAAAAAATGGGTCAGTTCAGTGTGCCCTAGTTTTCACTCAGTGAAACTGTTATCTGAATTGGGAGACATTTCTTTTTCATAAAATGTGGGAGCTGAAAGGAAAAACAGGCTTTCCAATCTCTGTGGTAATATTTAATAATTTGTTTCTCTTGGGAAGTTTCTTTGATTGAATTTCAACAGTTGTTTTTAAACCTCACCAACTTTCTTCTGTTATTAAACCATTTTCTAGTCTCTCTCCCCTCTGGACATGGAGAATGGCTAATTTGGTGACCCTCACTGTTTAGCCATTGGATCTGAGATGGAACGGCTGCGATTTATCAGGAATAATGATAGACAGACACGTTTTGGCACTGAAACTTCTCAACCAGTTGGAGGAGGATAGGTGTTCACTTCTCACAGAGACAAAGGCACAGCCAAGCGTATGTGGAAGAAGTCTGTGTAGACTCAGCGTCTGACTTCTTTCTTCTTGTCAGAAGCTTCAGAAGTTGCCCTGGGTGTCCCCCAGGTAGCCCTAGACAGAGACACAGTCCTGTGACAATAGCTCATGAATTCCCATACCTCCCCATAGCCAAGGTCTTTTTACATCCACCAGGACTTTGCAGGTCTGTCTTTATTAGTATCCTCCTTTCTTTATCAAATTTTGATAGTTAATGTTAATGTTTACAAGCAGCCCCCATAAATATAATATCTGTAACACCAATTAAAACTGTCTCCTTGTATATCACTTTACATTGCATTCTCAGTGTGTTTACACCAATATAAATAATTATGCTAATAAGACTCTTAGCATTAAAAAGAAGTAAATTGTTATCAATTTTGGTGGGCAATGATTTATTATATATTATTCCAAAAGCATAAAAATTAAAGAGACAGTTTATCTTCAGGACAACAAAGTTTTCACTAAGATTAAAAGCTTTTGCTTCAAAGTATATTATCAGGAAGGTTAAAGGGCAGGCTAGAAGCTGGGAGACTATATGAGTCACATAGAAAACATGTGTTTGTATCTATGTTCTGTAAAGAACCCTTACAATACCTTAACAAAAACACAACTCCACTTTCAAAAATGAGCAATGATAAGTACAGACATTTCTTCAAATAAAAACACAAATGGCAATTGAAAACACAGCATCAGTAACCACCAGGAAGATGAAAATTTAAACTATGAGATAATCCACATTTACTAAAATTATTATAATTCCAAGAGTAATGAGAAGTGCTTAGAGCATTGGAGGAACCTTGCTGGCGGGAAGGGAAGGTGGTGCCATGCCCTTCTAAAAGTGTCAGTTTCTTGACATTTTATACATAAATTTTCATGTAACACAGACATTACTTAATTTTTATACCAAAGACAAATGAAGATTGGAACCTCATAAAGACAAAAGCTTCTGTGCAGCAAAGGACATCATTGTTTGAGCAAAGCAGTAGGCTACCAATTATACATCCAACAGGTTAGTATTGGGAATGTATAAGGAGCTACAAATTAAAAACCTGAACAGCAAAAAACAAGTAACCTAGTTTAAAAATCACAAATGACTGAGAAACCCAAAAGTGTTCAATATCCTCAGCCATTAGGGAAATGCCAGTTAAAAACGACTTTGAGATTTTCTTACCCAAGTCAGAAGAGCCAAGATCAACTGAAGAAATGACAACACATACTGGTGAAATGTGGGGAAGGGAACGTTTACTCACTGCTAGCGGGAGTGTAAACTAGTGTAACCACTATGGAAATCAAGTGTGGTGGTTCCCCCAAAACTGAAAACTGATCTGTCTCAAGATTCGCCTGTACCCCTCCAGGCCATATACCCAAAGAATTACACATCTTAATACAGAGAAGTTGCACATCCATGTTCACTGCTGCTCTATTAGTAATAGCCAGACATCAAAAATAGACTAGATGGATGTAAAATACAAATGCAGATTTATAGAATGGAATATTATGAAGCTATTTAAAAATTAAAGTTTAAAAATTGCAGATAAATGGATGGAGCTAGAAACATCATCTTGAGTGAGATAACCAAGGCCCAAGAATCTAAACATGTGGGGACACCAGACCTTGAGCAGAGACCCACTTCCCCTTCAGCCTGGGAGTAGGCAGCTGTAAGACAATGTTTACTAAAAACATGCTTACTAAAAACAATACAATGCCCGGGGCAATAAGTTCCTGGAAAAGGCTGCCAACGGAAACCGCCCTGACCTCGACCTTGTCCAAAGACTCTTCTGCCACGCCCAGATCAGTTTTTGGTGTCAGAGCAGAACCAGCCAGGGTAGAGGAGAGAGCAGAAGCTTCTCTGGAGGGAGCCTTTCTTAGGAAGTTTTCTTGAACCTTTTTGGGGCCTGCTTAAAGTTTTCTTTACATCGTTGAACGAGTCTCTGTGTTGTCAATCCCTGACACCCTCCGCACGTTCTTGGACACAGGCCGCGCAGCTGAAGCGACATAAACATTTTCTCTTATGCTAGCTTTAAAAGCTTTAGATGTGTGTGTTTCATTTAAAACACCCACAGAAGTTAGGTAGGTAGTAAGGGATGGGGGAATCTCCCAAGGAAAGGGAAATAACATATAAACTATAGTTCAGAGTGCTAGAGAGATGGTCAAGCAGTGAAGAACATTTCTTGTTCCTGTAGAGGATATGTGTTCAATTTCTAGCACTCACTTGGTGACTTGCTATCATAAGTAATTTCAATTCCATGGGCTTCAAACCTTCTTCTGCATCTACATGATATACATATGAATGAGCAGGCAAAACTCTTATATACATAAAAATAAATAAAATGTAATTCAGTTAAGTTGTTTAAATCAGTATATTGCAAAAAAATCACTATACAGCAACATATTCATAATGACATTGGGTAATATTTTAATGTTTTTCATTTTCATTGTTGTATGAAAATGATTAAACTTGAATTAAAACCATTAAACAAATAATATAATTATACATAAAACTTTGGTGTGATCCAGTAATTTAGATATTACAGCCACTAACATGTATCTTATTTTCACACTAGGTGTCAGAACAGATATCATCAGGTTATGTCATATGTAATGAGAGAGTGAGCAGGGGATGTGTCTGCCCTAGCAATGTTATCTAATTTAGTTGTATAAAATTACTGTTCTTTTGAACTCACAGTGTAGCTTACTTTGGCTTTTAACTCATGCCTAGGAAAACAAGATATCCAAAACAAATACTAAACTAGAAATACTAAATTAGAAAGAGACAGCATTGCTCTGATTTATCAGCATAATTGAAAGATAAGCCATGGGAACCCTTGGACAAGGACATTTAGAAAGCCTAAAAAAACTGTAGATAAAAGAATCATTATAATTTACAATATTTAGTTAGATTATTAGATACCAAATTAACAAGCAAATTCAATATTGAAAACTTACTAGATCTTATATCCACAGCTCAATCTTGTATAAAGGTAATAATGTTTAAAATGGTATAATTGAAAGGAACAACAAATCAGGAGACAGGAAGAAAGATGGAGGGGCTGTCTCTCTCTCACACACAGACAGAGATAGAGACACAGAGAGAGACAGAAAGTGAGAGAGAGTGACACAGAGAGAGAGAGAAGAGAGAGAGACAGAGACACAGAGCCAGGAAGAGAAAGCAGGAAACTGGGAGTGGAGTGCTTCCCAAGCAACTTGGGAAGGAAAGGACTTGTTTAATTTGACAGTCTAATTTCTACTATCCCAGGAAGTCAGGGCAGAAACTCGAGGCAGGAACCCGAAGGCAGGAGCTGATGCAGAAGCCATGGAGGGGAGCTGTGCAGCAGTCCCTCTGCAGCCAGGGTTCAGGTCCTGAGATGGGGAAGGGCCATCAGTGGAAGGATAATTTTCCTACCACCAGATGAGTTTCATAAAAGTAGCCAGCCCCAAATAGCTGAAGCCATCTTTGTATTTCAAAAACAAGCATATTTCCTCCCATCCTTCAGCGTTAACTTCCAGCAAAAACAAATAGGTCAAATATGTTTTTTCCCAACTTTTACATCAAAACAACTATTTTTTTCCTCCTTGAACTCACATAGATTCACCTGCCTCTACCTCCAAGGTGCTGGGGTTAAAGGCATCTGTCAATACTTTCCAGCTTCAAAACAACTTTTAAACCAAAGACAACACTCAGCATTCGGCCAGCTTGGCTAGATATCAAACCAGGTACATCTTGTCTTTACAAAGCTAAAACGTGATAAAAAAATATGCACACATTCTCATGAACAACAATATTGTTCAAAACTTAACAAAGGATGTTTACAGAAATAGGGGTTATCTGTCATGAACTGCCTGCATAGGGTTAGCTTGTATTTCGCCAACTGTCCCCTTGTGCTACAAAAGGGCCCCCACACTAGAAGAAACCTAAGAAGCATCATTCCCCAAAGAATTTTAGGGGGAAATACTGGAGAAAAAAAAAACAGGATTTCCAGGAATGATTACATCTGTCCCATGTGTGACTGAAAGAGTGAAACTAAAACCAAGAGAATCATCATTATGAGAGAGAAGAGAGTATGCAGGTTGCACAGTCTCAGTAGTGTTCCGTGTTGTCCCAAGGTCCTTGCCTACTGGCTTTGCCTCTGGAGATTCGTTGGGCCACGGTTCATAAATTGATCTGAAACTAGGCTGCAAGGCTCCCAACAGTGCTCTTTACTGACTTGCTCCCCATGGCTTGCCCAGTCTGCTTTCTTATAGCACCCGAGAGCACCAGGACAGGGATTAAATTATCCACAGTGAGCTCCCACAGCGATCATCAATCAAGAAAATGCAACCTAGGGTTGACCACGGGCCAATGAAGAGGAGGAATTTTCTTCATGAGGGTTTCTCTTCTCAAATGACTATACAGCTGACATAAACGGGCCAGCAAAAGAGTCTCATAAAAGCCTTCTTTGTGTGTGTGCAGTTATGAAATTTTATTTAAAGGCATAAAGAGGTAATCCTCAAGAAATTGGAGAGGCACTCTATCCTAGTTAGCTTCAACTTCCCACTTGACACAGAGCAGAGTTATCCGAAGGAGCCTTAACTGTGGGGTGACCTCCACTAGACTACCCTGTGGACATGTCTATGGAGCATTTTCTTGATCGCTAATTGCCGTAGGATGGTGGCACTGTGGGAAGAACCGTGCATTGTCAGGAGATCCTGAGTTGGGATGAAGCCGGCTACGTAGATGGTTGGGGAGTAAGTCAGAGAAACCAAGTTAGTAGGCTTCTACAGTTCTTGCCCCGGCTCTGTTGGCATTCTGCACTTGATTTTCCTCAGTGGTGGAAGTGTAAGCCAAACCAAACCTTTCTCCTCTAAGTGGCTTTGGTCACGGTGTTTATTATAGCAACAGAAACAAACTAGAACACGTACTATGTTCATGGGAAAAATGCATACAAATAAATTTTCTTAAATCGAGAAATTTAATGAAATTCTTTTCAGAATTTCTAGAGGACTTTCGTAAAAAGATACAAAATTACATAGCAATATAAGTAAAATGTAGTATGTTTTAGAGAAACACACATATGTGTGCAGATATTTATTTATCTACACTTGTTATTGATTCTTTGTGGCTTGCATATCATACATCTCAATTCCATTCATCTCCCTGTCCCTTTGTGTCCTCCCTCCCATGCAACCTCCCAAAATGCGTTAAGATTTAAGCAAATTGATCATTATATTTACATATGATAACAAATGTATGAAATTTAAAAACAAAAATATTACTGCATGCTAATTTGTGCATGTAAGTAGAATAAACTAATGTACCTTTACACGGAGATGTCTATAAAAGCTGAAGACACGTGGAAAAGAGAGGAGACATGGAGATTCCAACTGCAGTTGAATCTAGAATCTTGTATTAAAAGTGAGTAAAATGGAGCAGTGAGACTGGAACAGCATTTGGTTTCTTTCTGTTTATTTTGCTTTCTGTGTTTCTGAAATATTTCAGAAAATAAAATCAATAAACAAAAATTGATTTGAAGAGTGCTTAATTCTGGCTAGCTCTTCCAAGTAGGCTGACCTGAGGCCCATATTGATTGAATTTTTCTCATCAATATTTGTCATACCTGAAAGCTGGACAGATGGCAAATATAATATCTGCCTTTCTGACAGATGGTTGAACCAGAACATTTAATGACTTTTAATTGTATTCTGGTAATTCATAAAAAGTAGGTCTGGAAATGAAATATTTTAGTCAATAACTTAGGAATTTAACTGTCACATAGTATGTCAGGACATAGTGATTAGCCTTCACAATTTCTGCTATGATGCAATATAGCGAATTTACATATATATTTGTTACAAATAATAAAGCAGAAATTCATGCTTTGGAGTCTGTGAAAACTGGAATCACAATTTTAAAGTTTCAAATGTAACATGATGTAATGTAACAAACAAACCTTTACAAACAGATATATTCTTCACAGATGATAATTTATTCATCAGTTTTTAACAGTGAGAGCTCAGGCATGAAGTAAACTCAGTAGTAGGCAGGCATCTTATCGAGTGTTTTCTTTTTTGCTTTAGAAGTGGGTATGCCAGCAGAACTTGGTAATGCTCAGGGTGTTCAAATTTTCTTCTCCGGCTTCCACTGGCTACCTGTGGACTGCACACATGGTGAAATCTAGGGACTCCAGTGCTTCTGGAAGTAAGAATATCAAGTTAAGAAAACAGCATTTAATTTTAAGTTGTGCTGCTTCTATGAAGGGCAGTAAATGAACCTGGTAGGCATGGAAGCAAGTCTTCATGGGAAGCCATTGTGGGAACAGAATGGAGAGAGTTTTTGTTTTACTTACTTTACAACCAAAGACTATCAGTAGAGTGGTGTCGCTCACTTTATGGTATTCAGTGAGTGATTGCAAAGCTGCAACATATAAAGAAACCATAATATACAAGGCAAATCAAATAGCTAAATTTGAGCTCTCTCTATAAAATAAAAAGTTAGGATACAGGTCAGTGCTGGTATAGGGTCCCTTTGAACTTTCTGTTTCATTAGCTTTAGTTTGGTTTTGTCTTCATTCTTTCAGAATGGCTCTTCCATCTCTAAGACAGAGAAATTCAAAATGTTAAGAGGTTTAAATCAGCCAAGAATGCCACCCCCCCTTTTTAGCAATACAGCTTGCCTGTTTAGTAGGCTTATGCTCATATCTCTTTGGTAAGAAATAGGCCACCAGGAAGTCTAGAAGAGTAGTGCCTCCATGTTTCCTCCTTAACACAGTGTAATTTACATGCAATAAATTGCACAGAACATATGTCATTTGATCAAGTTTAACATGCGTATACATAAAATCATGATAATGGAGATATCAAACATTTTTGTAAGATAATATTTTTAAATGTGAGTGTATCCACCTGAATAAATCAAGTTTCCTTTGGCAAGATAAAAGTAGAGTACACATCTGCTCCCTATACACACAGCTAAAATAAATGAGATAGCCAGGCACGGTGCTACACACCTTTGATTGTGGCTTGGTCACCTGTAGTTTGTGAGGCTGGTGTTGCGTCTTCTCCATCCAGCTGGAAATGCCGCCCTCCTTCTTCCCTGCCTCCTCTGTGTCTGGAAATCCTGCCTGGCTATTGGCTGTTCAGCTTTTTATTAAACTAATCAGATTGACATCTTCCCAGCACATAAAAAGATTATTCTACACAGGCAGCTAGCAGTGTCAAGAATAATCTCCAAGTTCCCAGTTCTCCCAAGGTCTACTCTCCAAGTGCTCCTGGTAAGCTAGGCTGACCTCAGGGAAGCAGGAGGAAGAAGCCAGGCTAGAAGGTTGCCTGGGATTACTTCTGACTTCAGTTGGCCTTTGTGGGCCATGTGGGCAGTGACGAACTAGTCAGTGACGAACTAGAGACAGAATACAGCTAAAGTCCTACTTCTTAGCACTTTTTATTGTTTCTTTTCCTCCCACCTTCTCTCTCCTTCCCACCAGGCCTCTCTCCCTCCCTCCCTCTCTCCTTTCCTTTTAGTGTTGAGAATGCAAGTCAGACCCTTGCATATTTTAAGCAAGCTGTCTACCACTGAACTGTGTCATCCCCTGCAAATGAGAAATAACTCAATTCAGTACATACTGATCGAGTTCCAAGCCTGTGGTGCCCATTTGGTTATCCCATGGGCATAGTAAAAGGACAGCATATCCCATTCTGTAACAGAACTCACTATCTGGTGGTGCCTGAGCCTTTTCTGCAGATAGGTGTGGCAAGGATATACTCACTTCATAAGACATGGAAGTATCTTTTTAATGGTGATTGTCCAGAAGCCATCCTATATCTGGTTTCATTGTCCTGATTACAAAGTAGGGGGCCCAAATTTCTCCAGCAGAAATCTGGACCAGTCTTGGATTAATCCAGGAGTGCTGGGCTTTATTAAGATGGAATCAAGACAATTATTTCCCCTCTCTCTCCCTCACTGCAGCCTAAAGTTCAGTGGGTTAAGACACATGGCTTAGTTTCTGCCTCCTGGAACGGAAATATTCTCAGATATACTCTAGGAATCTAGTGAAGCACTAACTCTGAAAATCCTTGGTTTTGGAAGTGACTATGGAGCATATGGATTCTAGTCCTCCCTGCTCACTCTAACTGGTTCCCTCATCCAGCAGGGCCTCAAGACTCATCCCAGCCTGGAAAGAGGCATCACAGTTATCTGGTGTTGGTCCAAGACTCTGAGGACTGGTTCTTAGCCTCAGGTTTGCCCAGTCTCTCTTCTTTCTGGGGAAATACTGTGATATTTAAGTCTCCTTGCAATTCCTTCCTTCCTTCCTCCTTCCCTCCCTCCCTTCCTTCTTTCTATTGAAAATAGATTCTTCTTTCATACAGACCAGTTTTCCTTCCCTCCCTTCTCCCTTCCCTCCAGTCCCTCCCCCTCCCCCAAGGCCCTCCCTTTCATGTCCTCTCCAGAAAAGAACAAGCCTCCAAGAGACAAGAGCTAAACAGGCCAAAGAAAGATACAACAAGACAGGGTGAAAGCCCTCGTATTGAGACTGGACAAGACAACTCAATAGGAGGAAAAGAGTCTTAAGAGCAGGCAAAAGAGCAGAGACACATCCACTGCCACTGTTAGGAGCCCCACAAACTCACCAAGCTAACAGCTGTGGTGTATACTCAGAGGACCTGGTGCAGATCATGCTTGCAATCTCTTCTGCATCAAAATGTACTGGACTATGCGAGTCATGGCTTCATTCAGTAGTTATGATGATGCAGATATTGTGTACATACTTTTATTTGATTAGTTTCTGATTTTGCCTAGCTTTGCACAAAGAAAACAGTTTGCAGGCAGGATGAAGCCTCTGCCTAAGGTCGCCCAGCTCACAATGGGTGGAGTTGAAATTCACACCCAGTTCTGTTTGACTTCAGACTCCAGTTTCTTAGTTACCATGCTACACCATTTTGGATTTTCCTCCTGCTAGGAAATATTCAGGCATCTTTGGAAAGAGTTTTGTGGAAATCCCAAATACCATAAATGCCAGCTCTGTTGCCCTTTTCAGACACACAGCTCAGCCATGCATCCAGGAAACGTGGTTGCCCTTGCCAGGCTCCAGGACTGTGCCTTCAGCCTGTTTGCTCCCTGGCCCCACCTCAATTCCGAGTGCCCATGACATCCTCTGCCTTAGAAGGGAATGGAGGAGGCTCCCTGCTCACACTTGGCTGTCTAGGACTGCCTCCCTTTGGGACTCTGGAGTCCTTCCTCTTCTCTACCAGTGTAAGCTGGGTCTGAACAGCCTCAAGTGTGGGAACTTGCAGTGAATTCCTCCAAAGTTTTAAGAGGGTAAAGAGTCACAATGGAAGAAAAGCAACTCAAAATGTTCTGCAAATGTTTGAAACAGGAAGGCTCTTCTTACATTTCATACATACTCAAAATTATTTATCTGATACTAACTGAGTAGACTATATGGGGGGGCAATCTTAAGTCAATGTACTTACCACCACCATGGTTGACTGGACCTGGATGCCTGTTCTGACTGTGAGGAAAGATCCAGGGTATGTATTCAGCCTAGGTTGGCATGATTAATGAACAAAGAAAATACGGCATGTGTGTATCTGCACAACAGACTATTGCTTGGCTACTGAGAAGAATGAAGTTGTCATTTACGGGGAAATGGGTGAACTAGAGATTACCAAGTTAAACATAATGAGCTAAACATAGAAAGATAAACGCCATGTGTTTTTTCTCATGGTTGAACTGTGAGAAGTTTGTAAACAGAAGTTGAAAAGGCAGTTGAACCCTTAAAATCCTTTCACTTCATGTTCAAGTTCTTGAATTACAGTTGTCAGTGGGTCTCAGGGAAGGAGCTGGAAGCATAAGGATTAGGTTAGGTGATAGCATCTGAAGTCAGTAGCTTTCAACAGTGACTCCAGGTCTAAGCACAGCAGGGGTTCATACCAGACCATGGGCCAGGATGGCCCAGAGTAGAATAGTGCTATCAGGAGAGCAGTGTGGGTAGAGATGCAGAAGTTTTATATCCTTTTCAGGTCTGCAGAAGTGATTTGAACAAAAGTATCCAATGCCTCAGAAAGTTTCTCTAATTTGTTCATTAAAAACTAAAGAGACGTGGGATAAATTAAAAATCCCTGAAAAAAGTATCCTGTGTTGAAGAGTCTGTACACTGACTGGCGGAATATCTTGATTGTGGAGAGTCAGGATGTTGCAGATTAAGAGGTAAAATTAATTTGATCTATCATTACCCCTGCCCAGCAGTCATTTAGCATTACTTCTTTTGTATCTGACTTAACACATTCTACAAGCTGGCAAGAACCTTTTCAATGTGTTAGTTCAGCAACTCACTCACTCACTGCCAAGAGTGCACACAGCTAAGAGTGCAGTCGTCTGCCCTCTGAAGACTGTAACACAGACGTCCCCACATTGCTGTCCCTCACTTACTTGACATCCACACCAATGAACTTGGTTAACACCTTGATTTATGAGTTTCCTTTATTCTGAGGCTATTAAAACGTTCATGTAATTGTTTCCATCATGAAATGGCATCATTCAAGGCAAGATAAAGCTGTTCTTGGGATATGGCCACTCATACTGGACTCAATAAACATCAGTTATTCTAGCCAGAGCCGAGCTGAATTGAGTTGAACATGGCAAACTGCGAGACCTAAAACTATATTCTGGAAAAGATCTTGGCCAAAGCTTTAAACTCATCACTGACTCATTTTTAGCGTGTCTGTATTTTCTTGATTTGGCATTGGAAATCTGTTTTATCTCTATAGACCTGTTTACAGAGATACTAATGTTTTATTTATAAAACTGTATACATATTTTTAGTAATTAAAACTACTGTCCTCTCTATTTGGTGATTGTCTTCTTACACATTCTCAGTTTTTCCTAAAGCCTGGATTTAATTCCACATTTTTCTGTTTTGAAATGTATTAAAATATATTTTTGTGTTTATTTTAAGGCCTCCTTCATACTCCAAGTTATTGAAATTATATGTTGAATTCAGATTTTCATTATTGTTTAAAAGATTTGCTGGTTCTTACCAAAACCAAATTTAATCATCATAGTTAAAAAATAAACACCATGCTTCATTTTTCATATAATCTTCAGGAAAAAAATAAGAAAGTACAGATAACTCACAATTCAACTATCAGGTATAATAAGTTTTAGCCTCTTAGAGCAGAGAAATGCCTTTGAGATTTTTTTGCTGTTCTCTCTTTCTACACACACACACATACACACACACACACACACATACACATGCATGCGTGCACACATATCTATATATGAAGCCATGCTATATATTTTTCAAATAAAAATTAATGTCAGAAGTTCATATTTATATCACTATTTTGATAGACTCATCATTTACCTATTTGGGTTTTCTTAACTGGTTTAATTTTTTAATAGATTTTTAAACTGGTTTAAAATGTTTTAACTTCTGTATAAGAATTATACAGGTTTACAGTGTATCCAAATGATGTTTGGGTGCATGTTCACAGTATATAATATTTAAATCAAGCTATAGGAGTTCATGTTAAATATTCATCATTTTTATATGATGTACCATTATTGAGCATTAAAAACCCACAGAAACAGCTGACCTGAGCAAGTGGGAGTTCATGGACCCCAGTACCAGCATAGTACTGAACAAAGGTCCCTGAATATGCATGTCAGTTAGGAGGCCTGGGCAGTCTATGGGGCCTCTGACAGTGGAACAGTATTTATCCCTAGTGTACAAATGGATTTTGGGAGACCATTCCCCATGGAGGGATATTGTCTCAGCCTAGATACAAAGGGGAGGGTCTAGGCCCTCTGCCCAAATAATATGGCAGAATTTGATGATCCCCCATGGAAGGCCTCACCCTCCCTGGGGAGTGGATGGGGTGGGGTGGGGAGGGTGGGGGTGCATCGGAGGATGGGAGAAAGAGGGAACTGAGATTGATATGCAAAAAATGATTGCTTCTAAATTAAATGAAAACATATAATAAATTTTAAAAACTAATTACCATTTTATGGTAATGATAACTTTTATAACCTCAAATTTATATTTAGATATACATGCATATTATATTTATAAACTTATGTGTATATATTTTAACAACCGAAATATTGCCTTTGTCCATGTTCCTTTCTACTACATTTATAAAAACCTTCGATCAGTTAATATATATATATATGTTTTATATATGCACACATTTGTTATATATTTCAGTCATTGAAACAGTAGCAAATTCAAACTTAAAACTATTTTATAATTAATTAATTTTTTGGCTGTTTTTATCTGTTTTTATTTGCATTATACACAATAAGCAATAAAGAGTAACAACAGAAATGAATGAGTGTGTCATTTCCCTGTTAGTCCCTTCTATTATTAGGAGGGACAGACATCTGTGGAACCTGTGCCAGTATTCACATCTACTGTGAGTTCATGGTGCCCATTTCACTTCACAGATACAGTCTGACTGCAGAACTGGCTTCTGTGAGAATTCAGGAATTTCAAGAAATGCACCTTCCAGGTGCCTGTGGCAGCCTTAACCAAGTGAAGTCAGAAGGGTACCTTTGCTCTCTGTCACACGGAGGCCTCCAAACTTCTGACCTTGCTTGTCCTGCAAAATGTGTAGTTATCTCTTGAGGATTTGAGAGTTGGATGCTGTTTTATTTTTTATCTGATTTAGATAATAAAGAGTTTCTGTTTTATGGATAGCTTTCTGCAGTTTTAAAATTAATTCTCTGGACACTTGGGTGGAACTCTGAGCCTGCAGGACCTGCAGCTCGGCTCTCTGCTGCACAGGTGTAGAAGAACGGTGACCAATTACAGACACCCAAGGAACAGCAGACAACTGGGTGAAGATGGACATCACTGTGAGCTTAAAGAATGCTTCTTTAAAATGTGAGTTTTCTTTCTGCTGTACATGAAGTCAGTATTATCTATTATCCTCAGCTCTCTTGTTAATACTCAATGTAACGGATTTTGACAGAGCAAGCAATTTGACCATTCAAATATTTATTTTTTAATTTATAAAGTAAATTCTGTCTGCATTCTTTTCAGGGCACAAACATCTGGGACTGCTTCTTTCCTAGTCAAACAACCTCACATTCTAATAACCTCATGATGTCTGGCAGCAACTGTTGCTTTTTTCTTTTCCAGATCAAACATCAAAATATTTTTTTGAAGTGGAATTGCTCAGATGATGAATGTCTTTCTCTTCTGGCTATGTAAGTCTTGTTTATTTGACCAAAATCAATGAAAGAATCATTTTATTCAGGACTTGTAAGTGATTGGGAGAGTATTTATGTCACTAATTGTGGGATAGTGAGGGAGAATTCTTCTCTTCAATCGTTCCTAGACTCACTGGAGACAGAAAAAGTAAACTCAATTGAATTCATATCATCTTTTAAGTAGTTTCTGTTCTCTATGTGTGGTTTTTCAGTTTGTTAATAACTAGCATCAATGTGCAATCACATATATAAGTTCCGTTATGTTCTCATTCATATGTACAACAGGAGTCAAAACGTAGCTTCATTTCCTGGAGAAGAGGCCTTTGATTCAAAACTTTTTAAGTGCTACCCAGAGCATGCCACTAGGAGGGATTTTGCTAGCTAGGAGTACGATGCACTTTTCAGAGGCAGGCATTTAGCTATTAGCAAATATAGTAGATCTCACCCAGTCAGCCTTATTTGAGCTTCCTTTGATAACAATTGCCCCTTTGTCTAATCCTTTTTCTTCTTGTTAGGCCTATGGAAAGCTGTATATCCTTACCCAGTGCGTGGTCCCCTAACTCAGGATAGACCCATGAACCTGTTTTATTTCTGAGACTCACTTCACTCATAAAACTCCTGATGGGGTTGAGCTATTGCATGTTAGCTTTGGAAGTGTTGCTGGCATGCACAGCATAGGCAGAACAGAGCTCTGTTTCTCACATGGACTGATACAGCTAGAAAGTGCTCCGAATGGAAACGCTTTAGCCACACTGACCTGACACTCTCTCTGTTCTGTACTCCCAGAGATGCCTGGGTTTTCTCCTGCCCCAAGCCCAGAGCACCTCTTCCGGTTCTGTGAACTACTCTGCATCCTTCCAGTATATATGCTGAGTGACTCAGCTCTGTGTTTTACAAGCCATGAGTCTGACACATAAAAAGAAAACCTTGTAAAGATCTAAACCTGTGATGAAATAGCGTATCCTCAATTGGTATTCCTGTTTTGTCTTGAAGTGCACATTCTTATTCCTGATGGATATGGTGTTATTTCATTCAAGAAAATTTTGTCCAGCACAATAATAAGATTACAGTAGGATTATCTGAAAAAAAAGTTGGAACATGGAAAATGGAGGAAATCAAGAGCTGAGCTCTCGAGAACATTGGTTCTTAAAGAAATTTCACCATCCCCACTAAAGTCATATACTCCAGACGTGACAGAGATTCACAATTATCACATGTCATCTTTGTAGTAACTGAAAAAAAA